AATATTACAGTAGGGAAGCTCTACTCTATTATAATACTTTGCTTAATACAATTACTTAATAATTTATAGTCGAGATAAAGTATTAAACATTCGACTTTGCCTTCATGCTACGGGAAGCTCTTCTATGAGAAGATAGTGAAAATGTAAATTGATGTCGTTCATGCTTATTAAAATTAACTTTCTTACTATAGATCTTTTTATTTATTGTTCACTTATTTTTGCCATAAATTATTAAAAATAAGAATTAGCTGGCATTCAACAACTCACATTTTCATGATAACCCTCTAAAGGTGATAAGGCTCAAACAATAAGCCTATCTAGCCTAGATTAGGCTATATATCAATTTCTATGTCGTACTATTATGAATAAAATAATGATTTGCTTTTCATAGAAACAGTTATGTGGCAAAGATTTATTAAAATTCGTACACGTTATCTCGATTTTTCACGGCGATGTAGCAAAATTTCGTCAAAATATCTCATATATAGAGTGGGTTGTAGGTTGAGGATAAAAAAAAAAAAACAAAAAAGAAAAAATTCTCGACGGACAATAGGCCAATGTAGCAGACATTTCATAAGCTTCATTTATGTACAAGTTGTCGTTCATCGCATATTTAGGGTGAAAAGGCAGAAAGGTTGGAAACCTTGAAATGAAATATAAATGAAGCTACGGAAATTGATAGTCCAACAGTTAGAAAGTGATTTGCGAGATTTCGTGCTAAATGGAATCATTCACTATGAATTTCCAAAGTCTGGTGAAAATGTCACATCCGCACAATGTCAAGTGCAACTAGTCAAACTCGATGATGCACTTTTGGGAGGACACAATTTATAGGCGAAGTAATTTGAAAAGTGATTTTGCTCGATGATATGCTTCTGTCAGTCAGCAGCAAAAGCAGCCCACGAAGTGATTTCCAATTTGGTCTGGGAACATTTCCCCTTGCGGCGTATTCTCTAGACTAATCTCCTTCCGGTCATGATGCTGAATATATCGATTATTAAGCATTGTAAAGTACACACATATACGTACATATATTTTAAATAAATTTGAAGAATGAAAGAAAGGAAGAAAGAAAGAAGAGAAGTTGTGACGAATATCACACATCTCTTACAAAGTAAATCTATTAAAAAAAAATTTAATTCTTTTGGAAACAAAGTTTCTTGAAATGTTGAGAATCATAAAAGCAACTAAAGATTTTTCGTATTCTACCCGATGATGTCATAAAAGTGCATGGTCAGGTTCGACAAAACTTTAGAACGAAATGAGGTATGCTTCACGTGTTCGCAAAGGTGTATATGTAGAGGAAATTGATTCGTGGCTTTTAAAGAAAAAAAAAACAAATTTTAAGTGAGCTCAATAGAGTGAAGTGTAGCGAACTGATGAAATTCCATTTTTTCGAGGTTCATTTTAAGGCCCATAAGTAATGCACTGTAATTGTGCGAACGAACTCTTTCCCTTTAAGACGATCACGTTAAACAAAAGTGAATTTTCCATAACAATATATACAACTTTTGTCGATTCACTGATGCGTAATTTACAAACACAAATTCAAACGGAATCTCGTTGACAATTACGGCAGTTTTGCTTTTACTAAACTTCGATTTTTAATTATCTTTATACTATGTATATAACCAGGTCCATGAAGCCTATCTAAAGAGAATATCTAAAGAAAATTTCTCCGATAGGGGGAATATCATAAATGCATATAAATGAAACGAATATTACGCCGTTACGCGTTCAATGGTTCATGTTCACCTGCACTAGAACGTGCGATATGTAATGGTGAAGTAGCATCTGATACATCTTGTATATTTTCATAATTAGTCTATGGACTTTAAATTATACAAAAATACACCTGTCTGCCGTTTCCTTTGTTTGCCTTAATGATCTCATCATCGACTTCTGTAAATCTACTTTTTTTTGAGGAATTCTGAAAGTAGTACGCAGTTATACTTTAGTTTTTACATTTTCGACTTTGTTTCTAATGGCTGACTTAAGAAGGGATGAGACCCGCTAAAAAGTCCGCTTATCCTCTGATGAAACGACATTTCCCATTTTCTATTTACTTACGTAATGCGATCAGTGCGATTTGTATTCGTGTAGGTGATTTTGATAATATATATGAGCATATGATGGAGTTTTTCATAGTTTTATATTCTAATCTAATCTTATCTGCTTAATTTATACAGTGTTGTTTTTCTTGCATTAACATAATATCATAAACCGCTAATTAAGATATAAAGATTTGGGTGGTTGTTGGTTTTAGTTTTTTTTTGCTTTGTTTTCGATTTATGTCAACCAATAAAAGCAAACAAAGAGATCTATGTTTAGCAAATCATATAATTACAATGGATATCTGACTGAGTAGCGTACTAATGACGCAAGTACGCAGAGAGAATTTAACAGAAAGAAATAACACTGTTGCTTATGTACCCTGTGCATCTAAGCGGATGAATATGTAACAAAGAGATAAACATTAATATTAAGGTGTAACTCAAAAAACAATAAGTAAAAAGGTTATATACGGCGAGGTCGCATCTCGCATACCCACCGCTATGCGTTTCGCATTCTACTCTACCAAGTTCTTTTTTTTTTTTTTTTTTTTTTTGATACCCATAACGCTGGTGTTATTAAGAAAAAATTAATCGCGGTATCTCATATCATATTCATTTTAAAATTAATCTATTTTTAGGCAGATAATATATGTTCATTGTGAGGAGTGTATAAAATAGCTGTAAACATTCTCTCTTGTTTGCCTGCCTTATGATGAATAAGAATAAAACGTCAAAAAAATGAAAAAAAAAAATAAAATTTAATTACTCGTAACTTTGTGTGGGCATGGCCGATTGGTTCGATTTTTAGACCTAGAGAGTAGAATGTTTCACAACATAATCGTGGAATATTTTCAAAACTCCAAAAATTTTTGGTTAAAAAAAAAAATTCAGCTGCCAGTCCAGTTTACGCTTCACTACGCGTTTCTGCTCCCACCAATTTGACCCACCATTTTCAATACGAGCCGGCGTGCAGAGACTTTCAATATTTATACCAAATTTGAAGTTTGATAGCTTCATTTATGCGACTAGGAGAGCACCAACAAGAATATATATATATACTTTATAGGGTCTCTGAAGCCTTCCACTGGGTATTACATAGATTATGGGAAAAAACAAAATGAGTGGTGGGCATAAAAAATCAGCGCATTATATTACAGTAAGTTTTGAAATAAGTCGCATTTATGTTAAGAGTTTTATCAGTTCGTTTTTCTTTTTTTATGTTTGCTTGTATGTTCCAACTAATTGGTTTATGAAAAGATTTCAGTGTTCTTTCGAACTCTTTGTCTGCTATGCAAGTCCCTTCATAAAACAATGTTAATTTTAAATGCTTTAATGGCTTCTTCTTCTTCTTCATCTTCTTGAAGACATATATATAATTTTTTCTTTTTTTTTTTTGCTATCATAAGTGTCTGTACTATTTACAATGGGGCAGCAAATGAAATATTTTACATTTGGGTTTCTGATGGTGTTTGTGTTTTTTTTTTTTTTTTGTTTTTTTTTTTTTTTTTATTTTTTTTTTTTTTTTTTTTTTTTTTTTTGGTTTAATTTTTCCCATAAATACAATTAACTAACCTCAGCAATGTTTGTTTTTGAATACCAAATGTTCGAGTGGTGAGAAAATCATATAGAAAATGCTTGTATACAATTAACCTAAATTAAAAATTTTTACGGGAAATTTTTGTTGTTTTTTTTTTTTTTTTTGAATTAAAAACAAACAAAAGAAAAGAAATACAAGCAAAAATGAAAAACTTTGCAATTTATGGAAAACTATATAGAATTGTCTTAGAAATTATTGATCGCACACATAATAAAGTTCGTTGCCTAAGTCTATTGCTTAGCAATTGTAAGACTTGTGTCACCGCAACATTTGTCGTAGATGGGGAACATGTTATGTGTCATAATAAATTGGTTAATAAGTTTTAATGATTTTGTTGTTGTTTTTCTTATGTCACTTAATTTTCCGTTTAACAGTGCCTTTGCGGATTTGCGACTTAACTACAAATTATATTTCCGTTGTCATATTTGATTCAATTAAAACGATCATAAAAAATCAATTGTTTCGAAATAGTTATGAAATCGCAAACAATATCAATTTTCATAAAATTTTTAAAAACAGAACTGTAGTCATTTGTAGCCGTATATCCACTAGTAGTGGCGTTTTACGTCAGTTTAGTCAAGTGTTTCCAAGCAAGAACATAATCACCAATAATTACCATTAAACTATTGTTTAGTTCAAAAGAAGAGAGAATTAAATCAAATCGAATCGAATAGCAGCGAAACTCTATACTGTTACTGACCAATCGTTAGTTTACCACCAGTAATCAGTGAAATAATCAGAAAATTCATTACGTAGTCATTAGTAGAAGGTGCGTAAACAGGCCATATAACGTATACCTGTGTAAGTTGCCCTTACGTTCTGCATGTTGCATGTGACAAGCGTAATCTACTTCCTTTTTCAGTCTCGTCAGTTACATATTTCAAAAATCACTTTTATTGGATCTTAAATTTTTTCGTCGATGAAGAAAACGTCGAAAATTTGTTGCTCTTTTTTCGCTCTTCACCCGTGAGTTTAGGTGAACCTAAGTATTTTACATTCTATATAGAGATTCCATTAGAGGGGATATTTTTCATATGTTTATCTGTTAGAATTGGGTGAATTCTTTCGCTTATGCAGCATGCTACGTTCAATTTATTATTAAATGCTTGAGGTGAGGTATATTTTTGTGCAAGGTTTCTAATGATTTCGTCGAAGCACCCAACAAACAAAGGCAATTAAAGGAATGGCAAAAGGAATCAATGTTAGAGGATAAATATTTCTTCGCTTCTTCTTCTTCGTCTCCTATTTTTTTTTTATTTTTTTTTTAAGATGGTGGAGGGAGCGGGGGGGGGGGGGGTGGCATTGGGATGAGAGGCGTTTGGCGTAGTTTTTGTTATATTGATTGATTTTGTGTAACAATTCCGTATAAACAAGGTCGAATTTTCGTTAAAGCTTAGAAATTTCAATAGCACTCACATTAATTAATTTTAATAATCGTAGGTTGTTGCTGTCCGATAATCAAGGCCGTAATCAAATGCCGCCTTATCAGCATAATTAATTGTATTGTGTTTGATTTCTGGACGTAATTTAAGCTTTTGGCCATTATAGTAGCTGGCATGACGTCTGTATAACTTAAGCATACGATATGTGTCAATGCCTGCGTCTTGAATATATGTGTATGAGAAAAATGAAACGAGAAAAATAAAAACAAAACAACACAACAATGCATTTAATTGTATTATGGCAACAGCATTTAAATAACAATAACAACAAGAAAAACAAAACATTGTTGTGAATAAAAGGAAAAACAAAAAAAAAAAAAAAAGACTAGGGAAAAGAAAAACCGACAAAACAAATCAGAAATCAAACCTTAAAAAGCTCTTAGAGAAAGATTAACAACAAAACTCAAGAGGGAAGTGTTCAAAAATAAAGTGCTTAGAGGCAGTGACACAGCCAACCACTACTATAGAGAGATCTCAACGGCAGATTACAGCCATTTATGTATAATGTATGTATATATGTAAACAAGTGCTTTTTATATAGATTTTCTTCTTTTTTTTTTTTCTGCTAATCACAATTTACTTACCGTAAGGTCTTGGCGAGTCCACCACGATAGGGGCAGCTGTTAAACTCTTTATTACAGGATGATAAGATACCAAAGGTTTAGGTGCTATTGCCACTGGTTTGGCAACAACTGTCTGAGCATGTACCGTGGGCCCAGATTTTGTAACTATAGCATTAAAACCATTAACAGGATCAGCTGTGTAATCAACAGTACGCACTGAACCGTCCGGTTCCACCAAAGAATATTGTCCTTAAATTTTAAATTAAAATGTATTACAAGAGAGATATAGATATAGAGATAGATATGGAGATAGAATGAGAGAGAGAGGATGAGAGTAAGAGAGAGAGAGAGAGAGAGAGAGAGAGAGAGAGAGAGAGAAAAAAATTTACCTTTCACAATATCACCATCACGAGTTTCATGTTGTGACTTGACATCACCTGTGGTATGATCAGCTACCCCGTAATTAAAGGCGTACTTCGGAGGTGACTATAATAATACACCAAAAAAACGGTGAAATGTTTAATATTATTGTTTATAATTTCCAAACATATATACGAAACGTTTACGCTTAATCTTTAGCTAATGTAAGCCTCAGCTAATATAAGCCAACCTATGGAATAGGGGTAAGAATGTCAGCTAACTTTCCAGCAAGAAAACATGTTATGCCTTATAATGTTTGCAGTTAAAGTTAACTATAGGTTTACTGGTAGAATATAATTTTTTTAAAAACGCAAAAAAAATTTAGAATTTTCCGATTAAAATTTGTTCCAAATTCTTAAATTATATTTGGCCAATAAGTAATAAACACTCAATCGCAAATAATTTCATAATAATTACTTTCGTTTTCGTCTCAAGGATTAGTTCAGATTTAAGGAACGCAAGGATGCCGAGCAGTCAAAACTGCAGCAAAAGAATAAATTAAAGAACAAATGCGTCCAAGTCATTGTATTATCTCACATTCATTGTTTAGAACATTAACGAATTGTACGTTAGTCATACAGAGTTGAAGTTCACTGTTAACTATTTATTTACTTGAAATAATTTCACAATAATTTCAAATAATTTGATCTTTTAATGAGCTAAATAGATCACTGAAAAATAGCTCATATCTTTGCAGAGGAGATTTTCTTAAATTACTTTCCTCTTGTTTTGTTTGTCTTAAATAATCGCTGAATTTCTTCTTTTACTTTATTTATATATTGAACTCACATAGTAATCCACATCGTAACCGCCATGACCGTATATAGTACTAGTACCGAAGACTAGTAAAAGGATAACAATGTTGCCAATCGAAAACATAATTATGTTGTTTATTAATTAAAAATCCAAAGTGTATATATCTCCACTTTAGTTTGGTTTATTTTTTTTTTTTTTGTATAAATAATAATTCAAGAGAAAATCCTAAAAATAAAATTTCAATATAACGGAAATCACTTTTCGTGAAAATTGTTATAATTATTTCAAAGCACGCACTTTATTGAAACGACGCCAACGTTTTGAACACAACGAATATGCCCGAAATACTGTAACAATTCTAAGATCAAGTTTACATTTTATATCACACAGACACTCCGTCTCTCTCTCTCTCTCTTTCTCTTTCTCTCTATTTCGATCTGTTTAAATGAAAAAAAAATTCTCCACTTGCTTTGTAATACAATACATACCTACAATGACTAAAGATAAGCGAATATATATTGACTTGAATATGTACGTACACATACGCGTATACATATATACATATAAATATGTTACTACACAGTTCCTATAAACTTCCCTCCATTGTATGCAAGTTTTTGTATTAAATTTTCAAATTAAGAGCTTCATGTTTTTTTGAGCACTCCAATTGATATGTATATGTATATGTATAGCCTTTATAGTGATTTAAGAGATTTTTCCTTACCTGCAGCCGTCAAAATTCGTTCTAAAGCATAAGCGTTTTTTTTTTTTTTTGAAAGATGATCAATATGAAAGAATAGGTCCGTCCGACAAGGACAACTAAGAATTCCATAAACAATTTACCTGAATACATAAACTTTTTTTTTTATATATATATTTTATGCAAAAATTGTTAAGGTTCAAGATTCAAGATTTCTTCGTTTCCAAAGCAGCCCCCAATTGCTACCAAGTCACTTCGTAATAGATTGATTGCGAAATTAATTAATTATCTAAAACTTTTCCAAATAATTTCCTCGCATATTTTCAATTGACCTAATTGATAAGACCATCCCACACATGAACCGTCAAAGTTCACGGAAGTTTCGGAAACGTAGAAAAATTAGATGGTCCCATATCAAACGAAGCGATGCCTGCTCAATTACGTTGTACATATTTACGCAACGATAAACGATAAGTAAGTTTTTCTCGAAACTGTTCGTTCGGCGGCACGATGCCTTTTGATGCCCAAAATAATGGGCATTGGGAATGTGAAATGTTGAAACTCGTATGACAGTTTTCGATCACTAGCTTTTTTTGGATTTTATAGTTAGCAGCACTTGAGGGTCGATCAGAATGGGGCAAGTGAACTTTGCTTTGAAACGCTTTACTCTTCAGCGATACGGTACGTGCCATTTAAGCGAATAGTTAAGAAATACGAGCGATAGGTTACAAAATCACAGAAAGACAAGTGTGGCGATCTCATCGTTGCTCCTCTTATACATTGGTGGTATTTTGCAACGAGTCAATGTTCCGCCTGCAGATTAGTTGTGCAAGTATAAACTATCCTCTTAAAAACATGACCACAAATTATACCAGGCATTGATCTAATATTTGGAATGACTATTTGTCCAAAAGATCTCGAAAGTAATTTTCAAATTTCTTATTTGTTGTTTTTTTTTTTTTTTTTTTTTTTTCATTTCTCTTTTAAGAAGCAGAACTGTTTTTATATCCAAATATATAAAATTTCACCTTGATTTCTCAATTTATCAGAGCAATCGTGAAATTTGTAACTATGATGGGATATGAATATATATATATATAAATATATATATATGTATATATGCATATATGTATAAATATGTCCCGGAAAGAAATACAAGAACTTGGTTCCTTAAAATGCATATCAATTTAGCGAAGACACGCAATCTGCAAACATTACTATGCGCAGTCAACTAAGTCCATTTTTGAAACTCTCACCCATTTGCGCTACTGGTTAAGCGAAGCAAATGCAACAGAGTGCTTTGCCAAACTGCCATTGGCAGAGAGCATTTCATTAAACTTTTTCGATGCATTTGCATAAACTTTTATTTTCTCCCGATACCTTTCCACAGAATTTTAACAGTTGCAAAAATTATCTTTAGTTAAAGAGAAAAGAAAATAAATAAGGCGTTCAATGATTTTGTGTGTTTATTTACCTATGTTGTTTGGCTAAGAGGCAACGATGCAATTATATTGTAAGAGTTGTTATACAATAAATTCACTTAAGAAGAATTTAAAAACTGATATAAAGAAAAAGTTTATCTACTACGACTTAAAATAATGCTAAAATAATGCAAGCTAAGCATAAATTAGAATAAAATGATTTAAAATAAGAAGAAGAAGAAGAAGAAAAACAAAAATGGAATACAACAATAAGAACAATGAAACATAATAGAGACAAAGAGATATAATTTAAGCATATTATAAATTGTATAGGCATGGCTAGAGACCCAGCCTACCACGTCTATGCTCGACGATTCAAATTTTAGTGCGATAGAGTTCGCCTTGGTCGTAGGCTGCTTACCTATCTCTTTCTTCACTTCTTCCTGACCGTTATCGTTTAACACCTATAAGGTATATCCTCTGAGTGATTGGTACATGAAACGTCGGACAAACTCCATTCTATCAGTGAGAGATAAAGAATAAATTATCGCTACGAATTAAATTAATGAACAAAAGTCTAAGGGAAAGCGAAAAAGGTTCATAATTGGTTTTAGATTAAAGGCCAAAATACAAAGCAATTAATTTAGCAAGAATCATAGAAACGAAATGATGATCACTTAAACTATCTCCAGAGGGTTTACTTTAAAATTTCATTCTTGCACAGACGTACATGTATTACAGTTGCCCTGGCTTAGAACACCACGCAGCGAAGTTTTATATTGTAAGATTCCGAATTGGACAAGCGTGGCGGTGTTTACTATGTCATGTAAAGCGATCATATGTCCACATATAAGAAACAAAAATAATTTCATTAGAAGAAAAAAATTGATTTTTTTTATTGAAATTGTTATAAGCGACTTTTCAAGATCTAAGAAGTTTGTGCTCTAGTTCCCATCTATTGAAAAATAATTAAATTTGCGCATAAATGACTATTATTTTTTTAAACTTTTCCGATTCTATTAATAAATTTTAATCACTCATTATCTTGCAATTATTATTTATGTAATTGCAATTATACGACTTTATTCGTAAAGAGTAAAAAAAAAAACAAAAACAAAATTGTAGTAAACAAGTTAAGAAGTTGAGCTTGCCTTTGCCGCGAGTTTTAACTACCCATCACCTTAATCTCAAGTAATTGTAATTGTAAAGCGGCGAGCAATCCGCGAGCTACTGTGTTGTACGTGTTTCTAGCCCTCCAGCTTTAGAAGCCTTATGAATCACGGCGCCTTCTTAGGTTCGATGGTATAACTTGTTTGTCAAATGGCTGTGTGCTCTTATAGATGGCCGCGTATTCGCGCAGGATATGATAGGATGTCTCCTTCTCCCCCCTGCAGAATCTGCATGAATTGATATCTGAAATACCAATAGTTTTCAGGTGGTACGTGAGGCAATTATCACCGATGTAGAAGCCAATTATGAGGCGTATATCCCTGCTTCGTAGTTCTAGTAGCTTGCATGCCATCCCGGGAGATTTTATAAATCTTTCAACTTGCCGTTGCCCTATACTTTGCTTCCAACGTCGTGATGATTTTTTTTGTGTCCACTGCAATACCAGCCTCTTGATGTTAAGCCATGGTCCGCTACAAAAATATTCCGGACCTATTGGACGGGATCTTCGCACTGGCCTGTTGGCTGGACTGCTCGCTCTTTCCCTGCCTTCGATGCCCAATAGGTGCACCCGATTGTACTCCGTGGCCAAACACAAGCTTAGAAGGTTTCTATGCTCCTTCAGAGTCTTTACAGCGGCTTGACTGTCGAAGTGAATGCATTTTAGCTCTCTTCTGCATTGCCTTTTTAAAAATTCTGATGCACATGTAGAGATTGCACAAACCTCTGCGTAGAATACCGAGGGAGTATGTCGCAGCGATATGACCTTTCAAAAACCTGGATCCGCATATGTCAGCCCCGATTTCGCCAGGGTCTCATTGGCCTCGCAGGACGCGAGATGTTGAGGTCTGCTTAGCGCAACCGTTGCACAGGTTAGCATAGGTAGTATTATGGTGGTATTTTAGGCTTTATACCCCATGTTTCGCCGAATAAGCGTTGACAGGCGAAAAGAGCCCTAGTCATCTTTCCGGTCAGCAGTTTCATATGAGGATTGCAAGTTCGGATTTTGTCAAATATGACGTCCAAATACTTCACCTCATCCGAGTAAGTGCCCTGAACGTTTTTTAAGAATACGTTACTTAATCAATCGCTATTCGTCAATGCCACGTAAGTACGTACAATGAAAATATGTTCTTCTATTAATTACAAGACATTGAGTCGACTAATCCGAATCACTGTCGAATTAAATCTTTAATCGTCCTTAATAAATTAGTTTGGGTGAAATTTAAGTTGAACTTATGCTATTAAAGCCCCTATAATAATATCTTGGAGTGAAAGGGGAAGTTTTTTTTAATCGATTTTGTTTCGCTCATTATAAAAAACTTTAATTTTTCCTTTTTCTTTTTCACAATTCTCTATTTTTATTAATTAATTATATATGTTAAATGATAAAACTTAATGCATACAAATTCAAAAACTGAAATTAAAATGAAAATAAGAGCAAAGTAAATATTTTACTTATATAGTTCAAGTGAAGAAAGTCATGAAAAGGAATAAATATATATATATGGGAAATATAGAATTATTTTTTATTTCGAAATTGATGAGAGAGAAAGCGATCGAATTGCAACTAAACGAACGGAATCCATGATCATACCGAACAATCGTTGGATATCATTTCCTATCTGAATTCACCTAAGGGGATTAATTTCATTTAGAAGCATATGTTTTATAAAAGACCATATATTTCTGCATTATATACGTTGCAAATGTTATGACGAATTTAGTTAAACTCAGCATTTAGTCATTGTTGTAAAAAGCAACTTTTATACCTTTATAACGTTCGTTCCCATTTAAGATTTTGTTCCTATTATTGTCAGTACAAGTTATGATCTAAATTTTTTTCTTTTTTATCTCAGTTGACGAACAATTAATTGTAACTGAACTCAGAGTCATTTCCCGTG